GTAGGTAGTTTTATCGAATTGGCCAGGGTAGAGTACTCGTCTGTCCTACAGTTATTCTAAAAGTTAGGCAAAATTTGCAATAACATTTTAACAAAGGCGAGGATGATATTGCTCTCCTCCTGGGCGTCTGCAGGATCTTTTGAGCGCTTCTAGAGCTCTGAACCTTAGATTAAATTAAAATAATTAATCAGTCAAAACCGTGAATCCTTCTCAGCACCCCGGGGAAGAAATTTGAGCGTGGCTGGTACTAGGGGTAGGCTGCTCAGTAAATACAATCTTATTCGCCCCTCATAATTTACGTCACATGCTTTTTACACTTTGGATCTTAGAAAAAATGTAAGTTAATGGGATATTTTAAGTAGGCTACCTATTGAGTTTTTCCATGCACGAAAACACTAAGAATGCTCTAGTTTTTAACCTTGGTGAACCCGTCATCGGCCACTGATGCCATGTCTTGTCATCACGGCCTGTGTCGAACTACAGGGAGTGTCGAACTATCGAGGTTCTACTGTAACAACAAAAGTAAACCTTATGAAATAAACAGTTCTATAACTAATATGCTCTACAAACCTTTTAGGTACTGGCCCTAAATTTGGCTTGTCACAGCCATGCACGGATGCAGTTTTTTTTTACTTTCAATTCAGTGGCTTCAGCCAACAGTCTCTTGGCTACAACTGAAACAGTTTAAGTGAAACGCCTCATAATAGATAACAATAACAAAAGAATTTGTTATGCAAATCTATATAAAGCTCAAATACCACTGACTCATTCATTCACTCACTCATCACGAAATCTCAGAAACCATAAGACCTAGGAACCTGAATCTTGGCAGGCATCATCCTTTTGGGTAGTAGACGATCACTAAGAAAGGATTTTACCCTCCGACCTCTGGGCTCCGCCCCAGTGGCTCTGGAGTTTCCCATGTTAACCTTATGAGAAATGGAATTAATGAATCTTAACAGCTGTTTCAATTAAACAAGATGGTTCTGTTCTATGATGTTTAATAGCATTAAAGTTACAAGGATTACCAACAGGGTGCAGCACTATTATTTCTTTTACATTTATGACAACAGCTAATTTGCAACCAAAAGGTGAGTGAGCGTAGCGAACGAACTTCAACCTGGAGGCGAGTTAGCGTAGCGAACGAGCTAACCTGAAGGCAAGTGAGCGCAGCGAACGAGCTCTAACCTAAAGGTGAGTGAGCGTAGCGAACGAGCTCCAATCCAAAGGTGAGTGAGCGTAGCGAACAAACTTCAACCAGGACGTGATTGAGCCATGCGAACGAGATCATCTTGAAAATTAAGAAGTTAAACGGGGCAAAGCCCGCGGGTTACAGCTAGTATTGGAAGAAAAATACAAAACAATCAGCTTTTAGAGAGAATATGCCATGTATTTGTATTTAACAAACTAGCTTTGACAATCTCACTTCTGTAGTAAAGTACAGAATAGACATAATTGGTCAGTGTGTGTTTTCAGGGGTGTACAGTGGGATTTACCAAATGAATCAAGTACAAAAAATTTAGTTTAGACTCGTTCAATGGTCTTGCCTCTCTGTTCAACCTGAAATTCTGGCTAAATTAAGCAAGATGGAAAAAGAAGTAAACCATAAGTCTGGCATTAATTTTTTTTTAAACAACTTTCTTCCAAGTGAATTTTTGTTTGACCAACAAACGAAAGTTTTAGTAAGTTTAACCTACTAACTTTCTTACTCTAAGGTTTTAATAATATTAAGTTATGATTTAGGCTATTAATATTTTTTGTTTTAAATTACAAATCATCAATAAAATTTAAAAACTATAGGCCTACAAATGGTAAGGTTTATTTAAAGCAGAAAATTTAAGAATTTTTCCAAAATTGTTAATACCGGTACCATAAGTTAAATTGCAGCACACAGACCAAGTTATTCATAATAATGTCTAAATTACAGTTCTAAATTCTGCAAATTTCGATGCAAAGCAAGATGGCAACTCATCTTGTAACGTTTGTTCAAACGGCAAGCCACTTGTTTTAAATCTGTGTTCACTGAAGCTAATTAGTTAATTTGAAAAATAACACAGCAGCCTAGGTAACCTTGTTACAATAACTTTACAACTTACAGCATGGGCAATATACCGTACATCTTTAGTAACTTAAATAGGCACAAGTTACCAGGATATGATTTAAAGTTAACAGCTACATAAAACCAAAATGGCAGGTCTCCAGTCAAGTGACATTTTGTAGAAGGTTGTTTTAAATTAGTTCATTACGGTAGCCTACCTTTACTTAGTTTAATCAATGGGTATGGCGTACAAAACTTAAAATCTTTGAGAGATGCTAATCTTAACCCATCTAAACGTTTGCCGAAAAACCCTAGCATCAGGACATAGGACTAGGATAAGCCCTTAGACCTAGGCTACAGTACCAAGTCTATAACTTAAGACATAGGCCTAAGCTAAATTAAAATATTTTTCTATAGGCCTAGGTCTATTTATCCAATCCATCGAAAATCATTTCTTCATTCTTAAATGAAACTTCATAACTTCGGCCTATGATAATTTAAGACAATCTACGCTGATAAAAAACTGCATCATTAAGTTACATATTGGCTTGTGTGTTCATAATATTGTAGCCCACCGGATTTGGCAAAAATAAGTAACTAGGTCTTGAACAATTCCAGATACAATATTCCAACGGATCACAATACTTTCTAGGCCAACTATAAAACAATTCACCAGTCATGAGGCCTAGGGCAAGCACAGGCCTAGAATTATTCTGGATCCTAGTCCAAATTTGGCAGTTTATTGTTGTAAGATAATTTTCAGAGCACTTGTAACTTGAGGTTCTAATGTCAGTATGATTAGCATTCTAACACACATATCTTATCATAACAATGGAAAAAATATTATGAATACATTGAAAAGATTAGCTGACTCACCTTTATGTTTCGTTGGCTCACAAGCACTTTTGTTGCAGTTAGTCTTCTAAAATCGAACACTATGGAATTAATTAACTATGAACAAAGAAATTGAAAATTGACAAAAACTAACTTCAATATGAATACTTTATGTCTAAAAACTCTGATATAGTAATAACGCGAGAAACAAACGTCGCAAAAAGACAAACTGACAAGACACACAAAGACAAAGACAAAGAGGTTAGGATTGTTTAGGGGTGGATCCTGGCGTCTGGCTGGCGTCGCTTGGTCGAACTGCATCATGGGAATTCGCGCTGTTGTTTTGTTGACTCTGTTTCAGGGCGGAATCTATGAACTCAAAAAGGGCAGTATTTTGTTGTCCTTGAATCCAGCCACAATGTTCCTAATATTTGCAACCTTGAATTGTGAATGCAAATTGTAGGGAAAAGTTTACCTTGAATCAAGGGTCCTTGCTATCTGGGACTACTTTCTTGTTCAAATTACATTTACTGGCAATATGGTTCAACATATTGCAAATGGAGCATCTTTTTCCGAATTCCGGACGCTTGAATTTTTGGTGGTTGTAACCAGCCAATTCACCCAGCAGTTACAAATGAAGTTATTGTTAGCGCCTGGAGGTCTCGGGGAAAACTGCGCGAGCACTAGGATTACTTTTACCATCTTGAGATCCTCCTTTCTTAGATGACCTTTATTTACCTTTATGTACCTTTATTTAACTTTTGATTGCAAATTTTACATAAGGAACTGTCAGTGTTTGTAGGACATAGGCTTTCCAGCTGAAGCTTAGTCCTTTTCCGCAGCCCTACAGATTTCTAATGCTTTGGCCAGATCCATATTGTTTTTTCTTGTCAGGGGAGATGTCTTACAGTAATAAAATAAGAGTCTTCTCAGCTTAATATTATATTCTGTCATGTTGGCAACTTGATTATTATGCCGGCTTCCCCCTGTCTTTGTTTTGTAGGCCGCATTTTTGTTCCAAGTGGCAACGGCAACACACCAAAACCGAATGGGATGGCTGAATGGAAATGTTTAAAAAACAATAAATAATTTTATTATAACCGTATCAAGAAAGGATTGAAATTTTCCTACGGTTACAGAGTGGCTACTATTTTCAATAAAATCCAGCGAAAACAACTGAAAGCTGATTACAAGTTGTCGTTAATTTTACCTACTACGGGAAATTATAGGGAAAACATAGACAAAAAGAATTTAATGACACACAGGTAAAGCTTTTATAGTTATAACTGAACTATTATACTGGTTAAGGGAATGTGTATAAAAGCAATATTTGCTACTAAAGTAATATTCTTGAGGATAATCAAAAGGCATATTAACCTGCTTCAAATAGGGAACGGGGCTTTGTGGGGGATTTTATGGAGTAAAAATGGAGGTTTCCCATTTTTGACCCTAACAAAAAAGTTGCAATTTCTTTCTTAACCATTTTGAAGAGCTTAAAAAAAGAAATAATTTAGTATATTGAAGCGCTGTTGTATGCCTAACGGTCACGGAGAAAAAAAATTTAATACAAAATTCCCATGTTATTCTTATGGAGAAAATGAAAACCGTTGTAGTTTACTCGTTAACGAATATATGTTAATAAAATTTGGCAAATTTATTTATTTCATTCTTTGCTATGACGTATGTCAAAAAATATGTTTTACCTTCCCCGTAGCAGCAAACCTAAGCACTCGTTAAATCTAATGTTATTTAAATTCAGAATAAATATATGTCTTTTTTATGGAAATATTTTAGTACGGTAAAAATGTAATCAGACAAGTAGAAATTCGCTTAGTCTGCAGGTTTGCTGCGGCGGGGGTATTTAAATATTTAGCAGGTTTTGGAAGTAAATAACAACTGGAAATGATAACAGGTATTCTGAAGAAGCCATGGCAACCAACATCTCAATTTCAAAAAATGAGACGGATAACAGGTTTTGGAAATCGGCTACTCATGTAGGCTTTCATAAAATACCTTTTTGGATTTTATGGGTCTGACCTTACATACCTTTTGAGATAAGAAGTTGGATCCTGTTACTATCAAAATTTAAATACAAGTTTTTTTATAAGAATAAATAATGTGCATCTGATCTTATAGAAAACTTTATTTTAACATTCAGTATAGTATGTCTTGTAATAATAGTCCATAAAAGCTTGAAGAGATTTAATAGCCGCCAGAGACCGCAGGAGAGAAGCCGATGCGTTTTTTTTCAACATCAAATCTTGTGTAGTATTTCCTCATGAACACTGTTCCCAGTATTATAAACTTTTCATCAGAGGGAGTTATGGCTATAAAACAGGCATCTGCACCAATCCTATTTTGCCTCTGTAAAAAAGTAAATATAATTAAGTACATTACAAAACTAACAAAATAATAATATTATTTTTCAATCTGAGACTAGCAACATAATATTGAATATTCATTAATGCCTTTAAAGGGCCATCCACAGATTAAGTAACATTAAGGATGGGGGATGGGCCTTGATCATATGAGGAATCGAAAAAGAAACCTTCGCTGTTTCGAAACAACAACCGAGTCAACCGATATGACCATTTAAACTCACAGAGTCAAAAGTCACGCCGGCACGATATATCGTTGCTTAGCGCTTTTCGGATGAAACACGATTATATGTTAGGCATATGTGGTTTTTGCTTTAGTTATTGAGCTAATTGAGCTAATGGACACATATTATAGCCTACAGGATGTCCATAAAAAACGTTTCAGGACTTTGGGATGAATCCTCATACCAAAAAGGAAGAAAAAAGTTTATTTGAAGGTATGTCCGAAAATGCATATTTACCTAGATATCCGCCATTTTGTTTTTATGCATAACTATTTTTATCCTTGAAGTTTTTCATTCAATGATTATGACACTTGGTAAGCATGTTAACGTACACAAGACCTCTATTATAGAAAAAATAAAGTTGGTCCGATAAGAAATTTCAAAATGGTGGCCGTTTTAATTTGTAACTCTTTAAATATCTTTTTTATATATACACATATTATTAATATTTAAGTAGTACTAGTCAGCACGTTTTCTAAGTTAATCTTTTGATGCACAATTTTGATATTTTGTTAGTATTTATTTTGAGTAAGTAGTATTATTACAATGTATTCTTTGTAAAAAAATGGATTTTCCGTCAATAAATAAAAAACTCAAAAATGGATAATTTTAACAATAAATTTCAAGAAAATTTTTTCTTAGCATTTTAAATTCCAACTAAAAACTAGATTGGGCAAGATTTTCTCAATATCCTTTTCCAACTAAGATTTTTCCTCAAACCTTTCTGAGTTACCCGAACATATATTTTTCTAAAACCTCAAAAATTTAACAATATATAAGTCATAAAGTTATGATTAAAGGTTGCAGAAAACCAGTCAAATACTAACGACTCACTTTTATTATTACGATACCTTAGCTATATACAGTACGGTAGAATAAAACTAAGCACGTATGGCCTTAGTGTGTACATCTTACATGTATGATCAAATGTCTGTTTTCCAAAACAAAATTGTTTTCTCCCAAGGTTATAAAGATGTCTGGAAGGTTTGGAGCTTTGACACAGTCAACCTATGAAATAAAGGACATTATTGAGTTTTATTACAAAAGAAATTAATAATAAAGTCAAATTTCAGCCATTAAAAAGTTTGTAATAAACAAATATTTGACACAGTTAGCTCATAAAGTCACTTAAATACTCGTATTTACTAGTTCCTTATAAAATGCAATATGGGTGATTCAAAATGAATACCACAACTTTAGGAATTTAAAACTCTGCAAAGAAAGAAAGGTGAGCTAATCACTATCTGCCGGTGAACAAAGGAAGTGTAGTGTTTGTGTAAAATAAATTAAAATTATAAGAGAAAATTATTGTCGGGACCACGTAAGTTTGCAGTTGGTGGCAGCCAATCACAAGACGAGGCTAGTGCAACGTTGCCACATCGTCCGTTGACAACACTAATTAAAATATACTAAGCAATATTTTCAAATCAGCTGGTATTATTAGATTTGGCAACACCGCACCGTTCTCGTTGGGTCATTCAAAACCATATGGTAATTAGGCTCCTCCCTCAACCGCAAACTTACGTGGTCCAGACAATAATCAAGTCATTGTAACAAGAAGAACCAGAATAGAATAATGGTTATTTGTACAATATAATGAATTATTTAAAAATCATCAGCTGTTGTAATTAATTTTAAACAGGCTAAAGAAAAAATTAACTAAAAGAACTGAACATACTCCCGGCCTTGAAGTGTCCTCACTTCAACAGTTTCCAGAGCAAAGCACAGGAACACAAATTTTTGTTGTAGGCCGGCTATAGCAGCTGGTTGCTTTTTCCTACTTTTGCTTTTCAACCCATACCATCTTTCCTAGGGTACAACATAAAACCTTTTGCTGGAGACCACTGAAGTCCTAGCTCTTTGAAATGGTGATCATCAGAGTTTTGAAGGAACTTTGGTGTTTCATGATGAGATTGAAGAATAGAAGTTAACAAGTTTCGAGGGTTCAAACCCCATTTCCTCAATTTAAAGCATTCTTGTTTCAACAATTCAACAAGTTGATATTGGAGGCTGAGCGTTTCCTCTGTAGTTTGCGATGAAGAGTAGCTATTGGTCAGAGCTCCATCGGAAGATATAACCACTTGACTGGATTGCTTGACTGTCTTTACTGTAGTGGTTTCACTGTGGATTGGGTTAACGGCAGCACTGTCTGTTTGGATAGCAACCCGGTCAGCAGGATGGGTGTCAGCATTATCAGTAGGGTTTATAACAGCATGGTCACTTGGTATAACAGCAGTGTTGGTAGGATGGATAGTGATAGTAGCACTGTCACTTGTCAAGGTAGTTGGAGCTCACTGTTGTATCTGTATTCTTAGGTTGAGGTATTGTCACTGTCACTGTGTAATTTTCGAGTTTGTGAACTTAGGAATCGTGATTTACCACTGGCCTCTTTATTGTGATGAGTTTTGTTCCAGGTTGTATAATGTCGTTGCATTTTATTTGAAACTGACTTGATAAGTTCGGTTTGGTTATATGCACTGCAGTAGTTCTATGAGGTTGAGTTGGACTGTAATCAACCTTGGTCGAATAAGGGTTGGAAACAATTTCTGAAAGCAGCACTTTAATGTGGCTGGTGATGTGGATGAATAGTTCACTGGTTTGGTCTTCATCTTCAGCTAAAGTTTCAATGTTCAAATCATCTTCACTTGACGTACTTACAATGTGATGAAAATAAGAATCAAAGTCTTCTTTCTTCTTATGGGCTTCTTGCATAAGAGTCTTTAAGGCTTCGTGTTGCACAAATGTTAATGATTCTTCTTGTTCAACAAGTTGATCTACGATGTTTCTTATTTTGTTGAGGCGTGTTTTAATAAAAGATGTGAGTAAGTTTATAAGTTATAAGTTTCAATTTTAAAATCACTTTTTGGAGATGCCATTGTACAAAAATGAGGAGATAAATGTCAAAAATTCACAAAGTGTAAATGAGTGAGTTAAGAGTTCCAATATGGAAATAAGAGTTTGGTTGGGTAAGAGTTCAGAAGCACAGAAATCAGTGGGTAAAATGAGGAAATATTAATATAAGAAGAGTTCTAGTTGATGAGTGTAATTCAAAATCGCTTAAGTAATATCTTGGATCGAAGGACCATTAAATAATGTAGAGTGTTTGTGTAAAATAAATTAAAATTATAAGAGAAAATTAATCAAGTCATTATAACAAGAAGAACCAGAATAGAATAATGTTTATTTGTACAATATAATGAATTATTTAAAAATCATCAGCTGTTGTACCATTTCGAGCGCTTTCGTGAAATTGCGAATTAATTAATTTTAAACAGACTAGAGAAAAAAATAACTAAAAGAACTGATCAGGAAGCTATAAAGTTTCATTTAGTTGCTCATTTGTTCGCTTAAGGCGTAGAGTCTCAGTTGATGCTAAGATGGCGACAGCTCAACAGAATGCTTTTTGTGTAATGGAGTACGGCAGCATTGATTAGTGAATCTACAACAGTTAGTGTGCATTTCGAACAAAGTATGGTGTTCAAACTCCTGATTGGTGGTGTATTAGTTGCTATGAACAGTTTACAGAGATTGGGTGTTTGTGCAAAGTCAAAAAATCTGGACGGCCGCGCACGAGTGATGAAAATGTAGCACCTATCCAGCAAGCATTTATTTGCAGCCCAGGTAAATTTCCAGAGAGCTTTAAATACCACAATCAACTGTATGGAGAGTCCTACGAAAAAGGTTAAGAATATGATGAAGCCTTATTGCCTGAAATTGGCTAGTTGCCTTGTTCTGTAGCCCTTTACAGCTGATAAGATAAGATTAAAATTGATTTCTGTAATGTTATCCTTTCTCAAATGGAAACAGATGAATCTTTCTTTTCAAAGATTGTGTTTAGCTATGAAGTGACTTTCCACACTAATGTTAAATTCAACCAGGACAATGTCTGTATATGGGGTACTGAGAAACCAAGGGAAACAATTCACGTTGTTTCAGCAAAATGTGACTCGCCCAAGGTGAAAGTTTTCTGTGCCATTTCAGCCAATACTGTTTTTGGTCCCTTTTTCTTCTAAGGTGCTACTGTAACTGGACTACAGTATCTGGAAATGTTGGAGACATTGGTACCGTCCGTGACTACCTGAACCTCAACTAACCGAGGTGATGGATCAGTCGCCAAGCAGCCCGTGACAGAGCACTTCATCACTGGCCTCCAAGAAGCTCTCCCCCTGAAATTTTTCTTATGGGGGTATGTTAAGGATATGCGTGTTTTGTCCATATCTCCCAGCCACCATTGATGATTTGAATCAAGAAATAACAGCAGCTATCCAAACTGTTACGCCTGATATGCTACGCTACAGAGAGTGTGGAATGAGTTTGAGTATCGGGTTGTCATTACTCTCGAGTGTCTGGAGGGGATCACATCTCTGAACTTGTTTTTGAGAGAAAATTTTGTTTGTAATATTCTTTGTAATGATAACAGAAGGTTCTATTATGTTTCTTTCACGAAATACACATTTTTAAAGTTGTTGTATTCTTTATAATGTGACAGGGATTTTTTATTTTACGATTCTGAATCAACCACTTGACGGTTTTTCATGATTTTTGCGTTGAAAGAAAGATAATTTTGAAATAGAAGGGAATTAAAACTATAATTTTAGTAGGGTTTCAGTTTTTCTTAAATTAAGTTTTCATTTTTAAAAAGTCTAGCAGCCGACGCTTACAATTTAAATTTGTTTCAACAGCTGGTTTCAAACTGCCCTTGGAATAGAAATGTTTATGTCAAGTTATTTGTTTACAAAAATATTGATGGTCAGTGTTTGTCTTTTTATACTATTCCACTTTAAAATGTAGAATTTTTCCTTCTGTAAAGGAAAGGTTATCAGGTTATCAGCAAATAATGTATGATTTTGAACTATTCTTGGCCACACTAGTGTGGCCTTGGTATAAGTGTTGTCAATGAAATCTGTGCTGGTATAAGTTTATGACATGAAAGTTTTAACTCATATTTGGGAGGTCAGAATCCTCTTAAGGTTTCTGTGGCCACGGAGGTAAGATAAAGGTAAGTTAAGGTAAGATAAGGTAAGTTACGGCAAGTACTAGTCTGCAAGGGAATACCACCAGAAAGATGCCCACCCAGATCTAAATCTTTGTTACCGTCTCGTCGACCAGTGTTAAATGTTTTGTTTTGTGTTGCATTTTATGTGTTTTGTCATTTATTTATTAACTCGTTCGAGTGCGGGCCGGTCACCAAGGACCTGGTTGGAGAATTTATCATTTGATAAATTTCAAGGAGTACAAAGCCGATTCAATGTGTTGGCTTGCAGATGAATCCGTCTGTATGCAAGCCAACACATTGAATCGGCTTTGTACTCCTTGAAATTTGTACTCCAATGTCTGTTAACCCTATTAAAACAGGGAACAAATAATTTGGACTATGAGCAGATATGGGCCTACCAACAGAGGATGGCCGCTGAATAACGGGCTTAATAATAACTGACATAAAAGATAAGTATGCCTACATCTAGTCTTACGCCATGGTGGAAGAAAAAAACATAGGTGTGCTATTCCCACATATTCTGACGTCACTTGGATTGCAAACAAAAGATCATCTGATTGTAACTGTCAAATTAGTATATGTATTTGTTTTGATTTGGTTGTTATTGTTTTTACTTTTTATTATTATAAAAACAATAACAATCAAATAAAAACCAATACATACTAATTTGACAGTTACAATCACATGATCTTTTGTTTGCAATCCGAGTGACGTCAGAATATGTGGGAATAGCACACCTATGTTTTTTCCTTCCACCATGGTCTTACGCAATTTTATTCTAGATGCATTGGCAACACTTTCTAGGTACTAGAATTGACTATTGGATTCTAGGTACTATTTTATATTTTTATTTTTATTATGATTTTTCTTCAGTCAAATTAAAATCCTTAACAAACTGTTCGAATCAGCTGTTTTGAATAACAAACAATGGTTTAAAATCACTATCACCATTGTACTATTGAAGAAGATGCAAGTGACATGTAATTATACAGGTTTTTTTTTTAGTTTCTACAAACAACCCAATTTAAAAACCACGATCAATTGCAGAATCATTGACTAACTAATATCTAGATGGGTACAAAAAATTGCTTAACTGTAAATAGTTGTTGGTCAGCCTCCTGTTTTATAAGGCCTTGGCTGAACATCCAAGACATGAGTCCTGAGTACAATGTTCTGGGGAGAGACAAGAAGCTAGTCCCAGAGTCTATCAGGGCTGTCAACTCTTCATGATGGTCCTGCACTACATCATAAGTCTCCTCTCCATAGTGCACTGTCATACTGTGTCAAAACAAATCATACACATAGGCTACAATTATACTAGGAAACTGGCGTCCGGGAGGCCGGGGACGCTAGCGGGGTAAATCAAATGGGGGCGATTATACTAGGGATGCCAGTGTTGGGTGCTAAAAAGCCACGCCATCGGATTTTGTTCCTTGTGAAATTTGAGCGCCCAGGGACTTTTTACCTCCCGGGATGCACAAAATCGGTTGTGGGGCATTGGTTCAAATGTGGCGCATTATACTAGGCGGCGAGCATCCGAGACGGGGTGCACAGAAGGAGCCTCCCCGAAGATTGTGACCATTACACGCTAAGAACGACATCACAATCGGGCGCACCCCCCAATTTTATTGTTATAGTTCTGTCCGGTTTTCTGTAGATGTCGTGTTTTGTTTACAATTTTTGTTTCTATTATTTTAGGATTAGTTTCTCATTATTATTTGTGTCTCACTGTTTGATTATATAGCTAGTGGACAAGTTATTGTTTAAGATTAGATAGTTTCAGCGAATTTCCCACATAGGGAATAAGCTATTACCGTAGGTCTCATGGTAAGACCTAGACCCAGGACCGATTTACCTTTTTGTTTTGAGGTCCCCAGAGGCCAAAAACACCATCCGTTAAAATTCATATATATATATTTGGTTTTCCCATTTTTTACCCTTAAAACACAAAATTTCACAATTTCCTTTGAAACTATTTTATAGCTTAAAAAAAGAAATAATTTTGTACATTGGAGCGTTGTTGTATTCCAAAAAAACCAGTAACAGTCAGCTACTAGTCGACTTTTTCTATAATAAGCACACACCAATTTTTGTCTCAATGTGTATCATGGTAGCAATATTTTCCTTCTAAAAACTTAACTTTTAGCTACTGAAAATATGTTTTACATTGTTGGTGACAATTAGCTGTTTCAAACAAAAACTAAGGAGGTACTATATCTATTCCTAACCAAACTTATATAAGTTACTGTATGTAATTAATTTGTATAGGTGTAATTTTACAATTTATTGATGGGTTTTGTAATCAGAACATTCACAAAAAATTAACACTCTACCTATATTTCAGTAGTTGTAAGGTTATGCAGTTTGTTTATTTGATATTGACTTCTGCATTACACTTGATAACTTAAGTGCTTTACCACTGGCAGATACTCACGAGGTTATTTTGACAATCCACCTGCTGCTGTCAGATACTGGAACATACTGGAAAGGTTCTGTGTGATATTGGTGCAAACATCCACCAAAAGACACTTCAGCATTGGTTTCTGCAGATGTGTTACTGACCAAATCAGTTTATTAATTGTTATTGACTTTAAAATGTTTTGTTAATTTTAAGGAAAATTATTACAAATACAGTAAAACCTCACTAACTCGATTATTTGTGGCCCCAGATGTTGGCAAGTTTGGAGCTTGTCGAGTGATCCAGAACATTGAAATTGTAATGGGTTTTAATAAATCCATACATAACAGACTAATTTTTATAAATGTATTACTTACATGTATATTTTTTACGTATTGATTAAGCAATCTACAAATAATCTTATAAACAATCTTCAGCCATCCTTGAAAAGTCGAGTACAATAGTAAGGCAATGCCAGCTAGACTGCGCCCTGTCAGCTGTTAACTGTCCGAGTTACACATACACATAGACTGTCGAGTTGACAGGTTTTGAGTTCGTAAGGTTTTACTGTACCTTATTATGTGCAATATGGTCCCCTTGTCTTGCAATTGGAACTATTCTGAAACAGCTCTAATTAAAGAGTAGTTTTCAAACTGTACAAACAAGCAAGATAAGTTAAATCTGTTCAGTTGAGCCATAGAGATTGAAGAGTAGATACGTTTCCATAGATTAATCTATGATTGAGCTAAAATGTTGAGTTTACAAGAGATATCTCTTATTGAGCTGTGGTCAGGAATGAAGCCAGTTATAAAGAATCTAAAGATCATAGGATGCAATTGTTATGCACATGTTCCTAATAGTCCAGTCAATCTGTTCCTAAAATAGGCCGATAGACAAAAAAAATACTAACAGGCTGGATTTTTTCCCATCGACTACTACCATGTAGACAAGTCTCCAGCCAAAAGTCCCCAACCCTAGCCCTCTTGCTTTTTTCCCTAGAGCCCTCCAAAGTTTTTAAGGGTGGATAAATGCAGTACTTTATAAAATCGCTTATATTTCAGTAACTATTTCAGATAGACCTTACATCTTGTTGTTTCTAGATTCCTAAAATTACGGTCTAAGAACATGATGTGTAGGTTTTGTGATTAGTTTACTAGTTTAATAGTTATTTCTATCTTTAATAATAAAAATGCATAATTTTTCTATTTCATTTAGAATATTTGCGCATATTATTTTAAAACAAGGCTCCAGTAATTATCATTAATAAAGAGGTTTCAAGTAAATATTTTCTCCTGTTTATAAGCTTTAAAATGATATATGACTTGTCATATTTCGCTCGTATTGTGCCCTGTGACTTAACATTTGAAGTCGTATAGTGTGCACCGGCTGCCGCGACCGCGCGCCGAGGCTCGTACCGACGCGACGACGACGATACTGCTCGGGACTAGGCACGCCTGCGTTCACTTTACATATAAATATTTATTGCTCTAGGGCAACTTATTTTTAAATACTACCTCTTTCATCATATTATTTGTATTATTTACAATTTAACAATCCTGGAACAAGACCAAGGATACAAGAAACATTCCAAGAAATAAGTAAACAATAAGGAACAAAAAAAATTATTATTTACCTAGTTTTAACAATTGATATTGGAGAACAAAACAACTTGTATAGAAAAAACATGTAATATTCATTTTTAATGAATATAGATCTAAGGTATGCACCAAGGTCAGCTCTAGTGAAGAGCTCTCTCGATCTTGTGACTATAACATGAAAGCACTGTTTGCACTTATAGTTGCCAATTCCTACGGGCTTGCTTATGCTGTATCTTCCAGGTCCACTTCTATTATTGCACTGTTCGAACATTGTCCCGCACATACTCCACACATTTCTGTACAATTTAAAGAAGCCTTGAAGCAGCTGCAGTTGTTTCTACAAGATTTCTTGCAATTGCAAGAAATGAGGGTAAAAACGTCCTCAGGTGCTGGAGGTTGGTTGGAGTGGATTGGAAAGAGCGTCCCATTTTGAAGCCTCCAACCCCATTCAGTTCCCAATATTTCCTTATTCCCCAACCATTTTTGAACCTGATAGTACGACCTGTAAAATTTTCTATTTTTAACTAATAAGGTGGTTAAAGCTCTAAAAAATACTTCACATAGAACACTCTCAGTTAAGGTTGTGCATATCTTTCAATGAATTTGATCATAATAATAAAAAAATATGTATTTAATACTAAAGACTATTCATACCAGATCCGGAACTAAATTAATTCAATTTGTAAAAACATTTGATCGATTTGAAGTAAATTAATGGACAAAAATGGGGTCAGGGAATTTATGAACTCAAACTTTGAAACTGTTGATGATTGATAATTCAATAATTAATTCGGCCCTTGCATGTTGAGTAGAGACATATTTTGAACTTTTCATTTTATAAATTGTTTACATTAAATTTAGAGGGTATTACAACAGTAGGGGGTTATATTAAAGGATTGATTGTTGTTTTGAGGTATGTTCTAAAATGGGGGGAGTTCGCGTTTCTACCGTAATTCGGAACAAGCTCAGCCGCTTGTAAATTGTTGATTTCTAGGTTATTTAAAAGGGAACACGTTATGTAGCGATTTCAGTGAGCAGATATTTTATATCTAAAAAATACATATAAAATCCCTAAAATCTCGATTTTTGCGGATTTATTTGCAACAACACTAAAAGTAACATTAAAATTTCGCTTACTGAAACCCTAAAATCGTTATAACGTTGTGAAAATATTTCCATCAATGCGTGGCAATAATGTTGTAAAATCTCTGGATATAGTTTTGCTGTTTCAAAAGAGCCATCGATCAACAGTTTTAGATCAGCAGTTGAGGGTGTACCGAATTGGTGCTTTGGGAGAAGCAGGAATTCACGTGGGACTGGAGTCCCCTTTTAAGAACGTTTACGAGTTAACGTTTAAGGTTAACATAAATTTTTATGGAAAATATCAAAACCAAAATATAAAAAAAGACTAAAAAGTGTTACGAACCTGTAAATATGTTGTTCTGCTGCTTCTGATGTTGGAGGAAGATATGCCTTGTTAAATTTAGACTTGAGAGACATTTTTGCCACTGCCTTTAAATATGCTATGAATCTACTTTCATTGAGACTTGAATGCTTAAAGAAACCATAGATTTTAAGAATAATGAATTCTCCCGCATCTTTGAGACTTGTTTTATCTATTTTACTGTCATAAAATAGCAATGCATTCTTCTGTAAATCTTCGGATTTTTCCATCAAATTATAAACCTTCATTTTGCCTTTCCCAAAGAGTGACGATGTAGTGTCGCAGCCAGATATAGCGTGTATTAGAAGCAACACTTCTTTTATCGGTCCTATTTCATTTCTAATTTGATTTATATTATAATTCTTCGCGGAATCACCATTTCTTTTGTGAAAGTAAAGCTGGAGGTTTTCTGATGTCGGCCGTCCAACAAGCAAAACAAAAACATCAGTATCCTGGCTCACAACAACTACTGAATTTTGACAGTGTGACTTAGAAAGAGCAACTGCTGTTTCCACGATTGCAAGATCCGCATCTTCCTCAGCGACAAATGTTGGTATGTTTTTTTCATTAAGCTTTTGAACAAGGAGTCTTATCAAGTTTTTCTTGTTTTTAGGGTTAGCCAAAAACTCATTTTGGTTTACACAACATGTCATTTCTTCAGTGAAGTTAATCTGTTGGGTGTTCCCCCTTCTGGTCTGTTCAAGGCCTTTAGTTGTTGGTTGATCTGGGTAGCCATCGAAAACTATGTGACATTGATTCCCATACCGTTTGGGAACACATGTAACATAAGCATCGATTATGTTGCCATATGTTTCATTAGGTGTCCATACGATACTATGGAGAAGGTAACCACCATCGATGACAAAAATACGTGGTGGTAAGGTTTGGTATTCATCTTCCCTCATGACCCATTTCTCAAATATCTTCATAATGGATGACTTTGTTCCTTTCCTCATCATTTGGTTGTTTTCAAATAGGGAGAGTGGATACGGGCTAAGTTCGTATTTGAAATAATCTTTCAACTTATTTGTGCCTTGTGAAATACAAATTACTCTGTTAAACAACTGATCAGGGTCGATTTGGATGTCTTGGTCTTTCAGCTTGAAACCAGTTGCTACTGATGCAACCGTTTTTACTCTCTCGCTCCTTTTCAATTTCACATCTGCGAAGTTCTTGCCTTCAACTGTCTTTAAGCAGCGGAGTCCAATTTCATAAGCTTGGTCACAGTTCACACCGTGGTTTGATACCACAAGGCCAGATGACAAGGCAACAAAATCAATACCTTGCTTGAAAGGATTATGAATTTGAAACCATTCAACGAATTTTGCTACATCTTGTAGGTCTCTCTCCTTTCTACTACATCTCAACTCTGTGTGTTGATCATTGAATTTTGTTAAACAACCAGAGAACTTTTCAAATGCTTCACTTATTTGCAAAAACCCTGGTGCACAAGCAATAAATTTAGTTAATGTCCTCTCACTTAATCCACGTCCATGAGTAAGTCCTCCTATGGATTTAGATGAACGCATAAGCGTCTGTTCAATTGTCATGTCAGTCCAATTGCCAGTAAAAAACCCGTCTGTTCTTCGAACTGTAAAAAAGCTCTTACTAACAAATCTTTCATAATCTTCCTTTTTCAAGACTGCTTGTAGATTAAACATCTGCTGCAAGTATAAATGAGCAGACTTTGCGTACAGTAAGTGTCCAGCAGCATGAAAATACGGTATCATTTGTCTTACAGTGTAAAGGTGCAGTTGCCAATTACCTGTTCTCTCAGCACGAATAAAGTCTAGCACCAAATTAACGAGCCTAAACTCTTGGAGCCAAAGTTTTGATGTTCGACTTTTTGTCATTAGATAGGTACAAGTTTCTTCAAACAGCAACATTATTTCTTTGATCTTGCTATCTTCAGTTGCGCTTTCAATTGATACCTCTTTAGAGGTGACTTTGTTATATATTTCTTTAAAGTGATTTTCAATAAGAATCTTCAAAGATGGACATTCTTCCAAAATAAGTGTCATTAATGCCGCCTGTGTCATCATGTGTGCTCTATACGATCTGGAATATGCATGTCCTGAAAGTAGATGGATGATAGTAGATTTTCCATAGACAGTGGACCACAAGTCTTCGATCCCACTTCCTTCCATAAATTTACCCAAACAACCGAGAAAGCTCATTAGGAGATGGAAGCCTCCCAACCTGACGATAACTTTCGAAATGCTGCTGTCTTCTGCGCTACTGGCGACTATGACACATGCTTTCAAGAATAATGGCTGGTCGAAAGTTACGATGCAGGGCTGTTTTGATGAACTACTCTGTTCAGCAGCAAAATGTAATGCCGAATAAATCGCCGTGGGGTTTCCTGGATCAACATCAATGAACGGTAAGGATAGTATGTAGGAAGTTTCAAAGTCCAGTCTGCCGTTGTAACAGCTATGCATGAAGCCAGACCACCCTGGAAATGGGATGTGATCAAGGGCGTAAGAACCCAACCACATGAAATTTTGTGAAGAGACAATCTCTTGTTTGGGCATATCCTCAGACAAATTTGATATTATAATATTTTTTAAGCCACTTTTTTGCCTGTGGCAATACAACAGAACCGGCACATTAAATGAGCCTTCTAAATTGAACGATGTGTTGCGTGGCACTCTTACATCACTAAAAACTGCAGTTTTTGGTGTTATACACTTAATCCCTCCGAGGGCATGAAAAGTGTCCTTTCCGTCTAGGGTTCTTACATTAATGTCTATGTTGTCAAAAACGAACTGGAAAAAAGGATCATCTTTTGTCAAAGGTTGGCCTGCCTTTAATAATGATTGTAAATACATCTCGGTTTCATGGTAAGAATTAGAAACTCCGAGTGAATGACAAATGTCTATTAGGTTTTTAGAGCCATATTGCCGGGACAGGTACAATCCAAGAGCAGAAAGTATTGGCGATTCGAAAGACCGAGGTCTGCAAAGTTTTACTATCATATTGTTTATCATAAGTCTCTTTCTTTGGAGTTCCACGTTATCGTCCGATTTCATTTTTTTTCTTTTTGTTAGTTCATTAGTAAATAACTTTAATAATTCTGGTATCAAGTCCTCGCCTCCTGTACTTATGTCTTTAGCACTATGATATGATGATACATCATACACCTTATTCTGAATCTCTTGCCTTATTATGGTCGCCGCTGTTGTTACTATTCTTTTCAATTCTTCTGTGGTGTTTTTCATTCTTTGTGAGTACCAAGATTCAGTTAAAATCTTATCGGCCCTGTCTCTTAAACAAATAATTGAAGATTGTTTCTTTACATTTGTTACGATAACTCGGTTTCCAAAATGTTTTTCTAACATAATTTTGAAATGTTGAGTTCCGTAGCTCTGCCCTGAGAACTCTTTCATCATTTCTTCCAAGTCTGAAACTAGATGTTGACAGTCATCACTGTCCTCGATATATTCGCAAACTTTTAAGAAAGCCTCTTTTAAATCTTCGTTTTCTGGTCTGCCTTTTTTTGTGGTCAACGATGGTTTGGTAAATCTGGCAAAGCAATCTGAGTGGTACCGACTCTCGCATTCTACTAAGTCGGCAACCCCTATCACTCTCGATTTTACAGTCTCGCCCCAATCATCGGTTCTATTTTCAGCATATTTCAGTATCGTACTTTGTACACTTTTGTTTTGCACCATACGAATATATTTTCTATATAGCTCTGGAGTTTTTTTGTCAATAACAATTTCTTTGCTACAAAACAAGCATTTATTTTTATAGTCAAAATTAAGTAAATTTGAATTAAACGATGATGAATGCTGCACTGTGCTAATAGAAGTAGTTTCTTTACATGCAGACATAGAAATAAATGATCTGATTGAGGAACAGCGAGTATAGGTCTTCCTACATTCTTTGTGTAAATTAATTTGTTGACAATTCTCAAATTGTTTGTGTAAGTCATCTTTCCTTGTTAGGCTGGACTTAATTAGGCTTAACAATCCTTTGGATCTTACATTCACAGTTTCACCTGCTGCCAACTGTCCTTTGCAGATCACGCATCGAGCCGAGTCTTCCTCCGTTTCGTCACATTCCGCTTCCATAATTATACACTAAATATTCACGTCAAAACTCAAGTGATAACTAAATAACATTATTAGGAAATAACAAGCACGCATTTATTTAAACTTATATTCACTTCGAAAAAACACCATCTTTATATCACACTCACGCAAGTTGATCACCATCCAGAAACGGTTACAGGGATGCCAACCTTTAAAATATACTATACGGAAACGGTTGCAGGGGTGCCAACCCAAATCGGTTACAGGAACACCAACTGTGAAAATCGAAATAAAAGGTTCTAAGTGAAATGGAAAAATAAATAAGTGATCGTATAAAACATGATTTGCCATTGTTCTATCGTTTATTAAAACAGTAACTGTATTATTTATTTTACTAATAGGGCACACAAAAGGGGAAAACATAAGGATTAATAAAACATAAGGCTTGTTAATATTATTATCACAGTTGTGTACACTGTTTATGTTTATTTACCTAAGTGCAATTTGTGTTCACATTTTAAATTTATATTATTTTTGTCTTATAATATAATAAGTTATTATTTACCACACATATACTATGCAGTATTTACTCGGCTCGATGCTTTATATGCAATTACTAATTAATTTAGTTATATTAGTTTCTTTTTAATTTTCCTAATTAATTAATATGAGAAATAATAATATGTTTGTTTTTAAGTGATATGAAGATCGTTTAAATTAATAAATCATCTATTATGTGAACGGAGGCATGCCTAGTCCCGAGCCCTTGTCGGTATCGCGTCGCGGCGCGGCGGCGGCGCAAGCGGGCGGGACGGGGCGCGCGTTCACGGCAGTGGCGGTGCTTACTATACTTCAAATGGGTAATTAAAGGGCATAGTAAGTGCTAGTTATGCCAAGTTATATATCATTTTAAAGCTTATTAAATGAAGAATATGTTGAAATAAAAACTCTTTACTAATGATTATTATTGGAGCTATATCTCTTAAATATTCGGAATAAAATGGAAACATTTTGTTTTTTCTAGCATTAAAGATGGAAATAACTATTAAACTAGTAAATTAATCACAAATCCTACAAAATGTGTTCTTAGACCGTAATTTTAGGGATCTAAAAACAACAAGATGTAAGGTCTATCTGAAATAGTTACTGAAATATAAGCGATTTTATAAAGTACTGCATTTATCCACCCTTAAAAAATTTGGAGGGCTCTAGGGAAAAAAGCAAGAGTGCTAGGGGTGGGGACTTTTGGCTGGAGACTTGTCTACATGGTAGTAGTCGATGGGAAAAAATCCAGCCTGTTAGTATTTTTTTTGTCTAAAAACCCCAGATTGACTGGACTATAAACCTAAACAGAAAAAATGGAAAAGAAGTCAGTAAAAGGGATCTTTAATTGGTTATGATGATAATGATGGATATTGAATTTGGTGTAAGGAAATAACTCTTTGATTAGATCAAGAGATGTAATTTTTCATGAAGAACCATTCTTTCAGAGACCCTTGTTACTGTTACCAAACCATGGACCATCAAAACTTCAAGAAGAAAATACTTCAAAAGAAGTAGGACTGGGGAAAATATCGTTGGACTGGATTCTGAGGAGGAATCAGAAATAGAAGAAAGTCTGAAATACGAGTTGCGAAAGCGTGAAAACATCAAAACTCGCAAGAGACTTGAAGACTATGTAATGTTTGCAATGTTAGGTAGGAATGACATACTTAAACCACAAAATTACTATGAAGAAATATGTACTGTTTAGTGATGATTTCTCTTGATACGACAGGTGTATTTCATGAAGCAGAAGTCTGAAGTACCAGAGAAACTTCAGCAGTTTTTGGCTGAAAGTAAGACTACAGGAGTGATTGTAAAGGAAGTATTAAGTGACAACGGTAGTGAGTTCGATAGTGGTATTTTGAGACAAATATTACCGTACAGCATCATGGGATCATGCATAGGTTAACAATGCAATACACGCCTGAGCAAAGCTGCTGGAGTGAGCGAGACAACCGGACATTGGTCGAGACCGCACGAGCAATGACGCACGCCCATGAGACAATACCAGAAATGTTATTGGCTGAAATGCTTAACACAGCGGACTTCATTTTAACCCGAACTGGTCCATCACTCAGGTTTTTGTTAAATAATTTTGTTATAGTTTTCTAATTTAGTAATTGTAGATTTTCGGAATATTCAAGAAGAAAAACACCACAAATAGAATGTTTTATAACCGCTATGGAAATCAAGGCATTATAAACAAAAATATACATAAGTACATGTGTTTTAGAACTGGCCAGAATCTAAAATAGCTAGAATTATAATATTTTCAACCAATTATCAATGAATTATATCAATTATTTAAGAAGGGGATGCCACTATATTTTAACCCAAATATGAGTGAAGGATGAGTGGATCTTGTAGTCTTGTTAGTGACTAAGGCCGACATGTTCCTTAGACACAGCTGTTAATTAACAACCCATACACCCAATGACAACCAAGGGACCTACATACAGTTTATAGTAGAATCTGAACCACATTTTTCCTTGTACTCAATTTAATTGGTCTAATTATCTGAATGCTACTGCGGATAGTCGTAGTACTCACTAGTGCAACTTAGAAATAATTTTGACCAAAAAATATTTGGTATGGGACTTGTTTGTATGTGTACCTGTTGAGATAGATGCAGAAGACGTTGTGTGCCACCAGCCCCTGGTCTGCTAGGTTTTGCACCAGAGAGTACCCAGGAGGTCCTGTGTGTGGGAGACCCAGTCCCAGGATACCATCAAACTGCATCCCTACAAACACAGGTCCTGGCTGTTCTGTGGCCTCCCCGAACAGCTGATATCTGACCAACGCACCACCAACCTTCAGGACAACAAGAACAAATTCTACAATAATTTATGATTATTAGATATTTATGTAAATTAATAAATTCCACATATATGGCTTATGGTAAGATCTATAGTCCGTTCACAAAATGTAAGGGGAAGGTTTCCTGGGTTCCCCTACCCTTTTTTTAGGTCAATTATTTATCAGCAGATCAGCTGTCGGTTGTTGTTCCAATGTTAGCGTGAGGTGGAGGGGATGGAATCGGTTCTTCTCAAACTGCCTAAATTTTGTGAACAGAGTATGGATCCTGAACCGATTTTTTGTTTTTTGTATTGATGTCTCTAGGCGCCAAAAACATAATACATTTGAATTAATATATATATATAATAGTGTCTGTTAGCAGGATATTTTGATTAAAAATAATCTGATTTTGAGGACATTTTGTAAAAAGTGTAAACTAATGTTTAATTTAACAATTTAGGGAACTGGTTTGATCGGGAAATATGGGAATGGGGTTTTACGGGGTAAAAAGTGGGTTTTACCCACTTTTAGATCCTCAAAACATGAAATTTCTAAGTTTTCTGCCAGGATTTTGTAGAGCTTGAAAAATAAAGTATATATTAACGGGACGATGGCAAAGTTAAACAACGTTACAAGCGGACAACGATAAAAACAGACACCACCTTAATCAGACAATGATAAAAGCAGACTTGTCCAGAGATGGCGTTGCACGACACAACAAAATTGGACACATTGAAAAAATGTCCCAGTTCAACGTTGCACGCAAATGACGAACCCGGATACATTTTTCAGTTGTCCAGCGTTGGCGTCCACGACACGACGAAACTGGACGTGGACACATTGGAAAAGTATCCCAGTTCCACGCAAACGACGAACCCGGACATTCTTAGTTTTTGAACAGACTGTACACAAGGCTCATCAAATTCTCAATCTCGCTCGGTTATTGCAAAACTCCGACAATGAACTTCCTAATACAGAAATGCCGTGAATACACCTTATTGTTACAAAGGCTTCTTTCTAATACGCTGTTACTATAATACACTGTGTTGTATTGACTCATAGTTCAGCAAAACACATTGCACATTATAAATTCAGAAATTTTATTGCATGTTTATTTGGTCGTTGTAAATGTTTGCTCGATATTAATAAAAAATACAGGCCTATGGGTATACACCATGTCCCAAATGAATGGATCAAATCTACAGCTTAATATACCTGTTGCTAAGGGTCGTAGGAAAGTTAAATAAGGCTCATTTTAAAGCTGTCATATTTAAGTGATTTTTGGTGTCCTTCAATAGTAATTAATTATTTATCATAAACAGCAGATTTCCATTTTAGCAAATTTCCAATATAGGGCATAAGCTTACCGTAGTACTCATGGTAAGACCTGGACCCGGGACAGATATAATTTTTAGTTCCAAAGTCCATAGAGGCCAAAATTACCATCCGTTCAAATTCATATATATAAATATCAAATTCATACGTGTAAACCTACGTTTATTTGAACGAGTTTGCAAACCAGCATAATTGGATTATGGGAACGGGGGTTTATGGGGGGTTTTACGGAGTAAAAATGGGGTTTTCCCATTTTTGACCCTAAAAACAAAACCATTTGCAATTTCTTTTTAAACCGTTTTGTAGAGTAAAAAAAAGAAATAATTTAATATATATTGAAGAGCTGTTATATGCCTAACGGTCACGGAGGAAATTCATAAATAGTGTAATTTAAAATTCCCTTGTTATTCTTATGGAGAAAATGAAAACTGTTGTAGTTTACTTGTTTATATGTTGATAAAATTTGGCAAATTTATTAATTTCATCCTATACTATTGACGTATGGTCAAAAAACACTTTTTACCTTCCTCGTAGCAGCAAACCTAAGCACTCGTTAAATCTAATGTTATTTAAATTGGGAATAAATATGTCTTATTCATGGAAATATTTTAGTAATAATGTAATCAGACAAGTTGAAATTTGATTAGTCTGCAGGTTTGCTGCGGCAGGGGTATTTAAAATAATAGTTGTTTAGGGCAACAACTCGATAGTATTTGAATATTAAACCATACATTTCAGATGATGAATTACAATTACGATGACCTTACAGTGATTGTGTCACGGGAAGTGAAGCCAGAGCAGGAGCCTGTGACGTAAGGGAGGAAAAACCTTTCTCCTACCCTTGCGTGAGTGCTGGAACGTTGGCTGTCATACTGCTTACTCTGCCCTGAGGAACAGGAACACACATTGAGGTACTATCTATAGTATTAGCAAATTTGGAATGTCGATGGAGGCCAGGAAGGACTCACACGCGCAGATCGCACATACACAAGCGCAGGGGATTAGGACCAGCCGTATTTCCACCCGTTAATATTCTATGGTACTTAACCAATCAAAAAGAAAATATTTGTATTTGTAATTTTATTTTGACTTCTTTATTGTTTTTGAACTCGTTACATTATAACAAGAAAAATAATACACCAAACAACGTATAGTTAACTGTATATTTACCATTTGTGTATAATGATAATAAACAGTTTGGTACAACACTTTAAGTCGGCCGATTAACATGGGACGGACACACAATTGTATGTATTATGATAACTATCAATACAGTATCAAGTATTTTTGAAAACAATGATTATTTGTTACATTTCCGTGTTTAAGTGGAATATTTGGTGAGGGGATTTAAAGGCCGGGCCATCCCAACTATTCATCGGCCGAGCAACTTACCCTGTCCCTTGCACCCGTGAGTGTGGGGTGCGTATGTTTGATGGGACTTGACCTGGTCTCCATCGGCATTCCGGTTTTGCTGATACTATAAATATTGGTTGAGACTCACTGATCTTCGGTACATTGCTGGGCAGATGAGTTGTTGTGGGACTTAGTGATTATGAGGTTATCAGGGGCTTTATGATAGTTCAAACTGGATCCAGCTATCCTTGATCACCGGACCTTTAATAAACTGCCCTAGCTAAAGAAACTGCTAATCTTAGTCAGTAACAAAGCTCATCACAGCAATGATATCACTCAATTCTATCAATGACTATTATACCAATAGTCTATTACTCTCTCTCTCTCTGCATACATATTCAGCACACGTGTGTGCGTCGCTAACTTAAAGATTTGATCGATTTTTGATTGTACCTGAAATATATCGCCTCAGCATTCAATCAATATTAAATGAGTACCAGGAATAACACTACCCACACTAACATTTGATATATACTTAAATTAAACTTATACTTACAACATGGGAGGTTAAGAGCACTACACTGGCTCGACGGGACCCACAGGTAGTCTGAACCAGTGTCGTAGATCACTTGAAACTCCTGCGGTGGTGTTCCAATAGATATAGGTCCGTAGTAAAACAACTGCTCATGAAAAAAATAATAATCAATTATCACAAAAACTCACTTATAAAATTTAGGTAAAATATAGAATAGGTAGTTATTTATCCTGCAAAATATTACTTTCCAAAATTTCTATGTTTATAATAAAAAGATAAAAAGTCTCTTTTTTGCTAAACGATTAAAAAACTCCCCCTTATCTTAAATATAGGCCTTACCATCTTGAGACGGACGAGTGAATTATCCTTGCTTCACGTCACAGCCAAAATTCTCCATTAATTGGTTTTATGTGATTGTTGTTAAAACTATATTGGTAAATGTTGAAAAAGATTTTATAATAGTCATCTTTAAAAATCATTACCTATCTTTGACACTCTTACCTGAAGCACTGACTGCTAGTGCCTCCTCAATCCACAACTTGGCTAAGAGTCTTTCTTCTGTTCTTGTAACGCTTGTGCTTCACCTGCCACTGCGCTGGCTTTCAAGTCTTAATTTACCGTCCATCACTAGGATATTACCAAAAACCCCTTTTGCTGCTCCAAAAATCAAACTCAACTGGTTCAAACGAAGACGCGCCGCCCTTCATTTGAACATTGTGCCATGCCGTGACGCTCTCTGTGTGTTCCTTCATATTACAAACTACGTATTTGTTTTTGACGCGTCATGACGTGCCCCGCTGTGCCATATCCTGTGTGTTTTTACACTAATAAGGCTATTTCTAATCTGATACCTATGGGCTCCGTTCTTTACTTTATTCACTAACACAGTGATAATAACCGATTCCCACCCCTAGCTGCAGATTAACGCTTATAACTTTTATTACATTCATTAAACTTACCACTATAAATGACACATCTAATTAAACCAAAATTCAATCAGTTTTGTTTATTGCACATGTGCACGCAATTCTTTTGTCGCCATGTGTTAAAAAGTGTTAGTGGCAAGGATGACGACTGGTGAACATAAAGGTTTTTGTGTTTTACAGTTTGCAAAATTGGAATCTGTAGTTACTGTGCAACGTGCGTTCCGTATTAAGCTCGGTGTGATCCTCCAAATAATAATAATATCTGTAGATGGTATCATCAGTTTGAAGATACCGGAATGGATAAAACATACTCCCTTAGTAGATTTCCCATCCTTATGGAACAGCTGAAGCTAATTTGATCAGTAGTTCTGTCCAGCCCACTGTAGATGTCGTGTTTTGTTTACAATTTGTTTCTTGTTATTTCAGTAATTTAAAACCTCCTTTAACCAAATAATACAATCTAATCATTAACAATAACTCATCCTCTGGTTATATAACCAAACAGTTAAGCACAAATCATGAAATTAACTCTAAAATAAAATAAAAGAAACAAAATTTCATCGACACTAGCCACCAGAGTTACCAGACATGAACTAGACACGAAAACGAGCTTCAAAATTTACAATCTAGCTCGGAAGTCTACTTTTGTTGGTTAGTCTATGATACCGGTTGCTTTTGTAAGGGGAAGAGTAGGTACGGGACAAACAAGAGTTAGTGAAGAGAGCGTTGAGGGAGTGCTTTGTCAGGTGTAGCCCACAGAAGTCCATTCTGAGGGCTAGTCGTGAATTAGCAATATCTGTAACGACTGTTTGGAGAGGTTTACGGAGACACTTACACTTACAACTACGTCCTTATATGTGCCAACTTCGCTAACGAAATTTTGTTACATAAGGATGAAGATTTTCTAGATGGTGTCATCTTCAGTGATGAATCGATCTTTCAACTTAGTGGACATGTGAACACTCATAATGTTGGAACTTGGGGCTCAGAAAAGGCTCATGTGATGGTAAAAGTGCAAAGCGACTCCCCCAAATTGAGTGTTTTTGTTCTATATCTCTGCAGAAAGTTTATGGGCCATTATTTTTTGGTGAAGCAACTGTATCTGGTACTTCTTATCTTGATACTCTACAATTATAGCTTTTCCCTCAGATAAAGGATGATGAACAAGAGAACTTCATTTTCTAGCAACATATGGTGCTCCGCCTCACTGGCATAACAAAACACGCGATTGGTTGAACGTTACTGTAGCCGACCGCTGGATTGGCCGAAAGGACCCAATGACAGAGCTTGTTTCACTTGGCCTCCGCGGTCATCCGATCTGACGTCTTGCGATTTTTACTTTTGGGAGTTCATAAAAGATCATATGTATTTTCCTCCACTACCAACAGACCTTCCTGAATTAAGAAACAGGATTGAAACAGCTGCTATAACAATTACGCAAGAGACACTAAACAAAGTTTGGAAATAAATCTCATATTGTCTTGAGATTTCAACGTGGGCTGTGTGATAGATGGTGCTCACATTGAACACTTATAGCCTTTTATGTAAAACTCTTTGAGTTGCTTTTTCATTTGATGATTCATTTATAGCGGTAAGTTTAATGCAATAAAAGCTATAAGGCGTTAAAACCCTGATATTCATTTTGAAACACCCGGTACTACTATTTTTGTCTTATATGAATAAAAGTCTGTTAAGTACCTACACTTAATGTTTTTATTTAAAGTTATATGGATTTGATCAAGGGGTATGCCACAGTGCATATAATAAATATAGAGGCGGCACTTGCCGTCCCGAGTGAAGCAGGCTTCTCGTACTAAGATGGCGGCCGACCCGGTCTGCAGTTACATTTAAACCATTATATTGTTACCATGGAACCCACCAATCAATATTTACTTTTAAAACTCTCACCTCAGAACTTTGAAAGCCCGCGGGGCAGTGTCCCAGGTCAACATCGAAGGGGGGTAGTTCTATATGTATCCTCGGAGCGGTAGCTTCATCTAATTCATAAAGTAGCATAGAATAACACAGTGGTAATGACGCTGTGTTTTCAAAGTTCCGAGCCCGACTCTCTTACCAAGATGGCAGAAATCGGCTTCACTACTGGTATAGCCGTAGGTATAGGAGTGGCGACTCTATATTTATTCTATGCTCTGTGGGGTATGCTAAGTCTGGACATTCCACCACATCAAAAACTTACGTCTCTGTCATTATGAAGATTAACTCCATGCACATTCCTATTATCAGTTTGCCTGCTGTAGGGAGCCGTGTTCTTACTGACAGAAGATTCTGAGAAGATGTCTGATGTGTAATAATCAGTTTTATGAATGGCAGGGAGTTTGAAAAGATTAGCTTCTGAATGTTCAGTAGATTTAGAGGCGTCTGCACTGCTGTACTGCTTTAATGGAACCCTTTGAAAGAAAACAAAACAATATCTGTGAGACACAATTTATTTCTCTTATTAAATGAAACACACTCTGTAGATTAAAACAGTTTTTCAAACTATGTCCAATTAACATTATTTTAGTCTAAAAAGGTCAATGGTAAAAGCAATTACTATTGGCATGGATAAAACATACTCCCTTAGTAGCCCAGGCAAATTAGACATATGCTCCCCAAAAAATCGTCTAAAGCTGGAAAGTATTTTAATACCTTTTGGGGGTCCCAAATAAGAGTCCTGTGAGTTTGCGACGGATTCTGACGTCTGCTTAAGTTTTGGGAGTCGAAAAACTATGAAAATTTTGCACTTTTTTCAGTTTTTCGCTTATAACTCCTAAATAACGAATCCTAAGGAAAATGTTGTTCAAAAGTGTCTTTTAGTGCATTAAGTTCCGCGTCGATTGATGTTAAATACGTCAAAATCGGCCCAGCGGTTTAGCCGCTGTAGCTTTTTAAAGTTGGGATATTTTCATCAACATGGCCAAAAGGTTGATTATTTGACCAGTTTTCGACTTACAACTCCTAAACGACGCATGCTATACAATTATGCGCCTGAAGTTAGTTTGGAAAACACAAAATTTTGCGTAGAATTATGATTATGAATGACTAGATAGTGGTTTATTTCATGGTTATCATCCAGAGGTTTATCCAAGAATGTGTGAAGGGAAGGGTAGGAAGACCCCCTATGCAATTTTAAATCTAATATTGTTGAGGGGGTTACAAAAATTCTAGGATTCGTCCTAAGCTCCCATTTATACGATGCCATCTCTGGACACTCCGGAATGTTGTTAAGCGATTCTAATATATAATAAAATATTACAACGAGAAAGATTTTATTAAATATAGCAAAAATGTTATTTTTTAGCTTAATAAACAAAAGATGATAATGGGACGGATGTACATAGTTTTACTATGAGTTTAGCCTATTAAAAAAAACTATTGGGCTTTTTCGTAGATTTTACCATCTAACTTTTCTACTTCTCATCATTGGAATCTTAAGAATAAGGATTCATTCTTTGCTCTTGTTGGTCTTGCCACAAATGGTGACATTCGGTACCATCTTTTTCGTCAGATATCGAATTGAGATAATCGTGCCCCTTGCAAGTCTTTCAAACAGTAGTGCATTACATCCCTGCATTTCATATGGAGCGAGAAAATGTAAACCTTTTTAACATGTACACGATGGTCTAGATAGGTAGACGGAGTTGAGAAGTTCTTTTCGAACCGGTGGATTAGTCGTAGTGATAAGAGTTAACTCATTGACGTTAATTTTCCATACCTATCTCTCTGAATTAAGTACAATTTTAAATGAGCTCTAAAGGATTGGTGGATGAGCAGCCCCTTTTGTTAGAATCAAAGTCAAAATTAGTTGAAAGTGTCCTCTAGAAGAGACCAACCCTCACTTGATTTGGATATTTTCTGCTCCCAACCATGTATAGGGCCCATCTGCTTCTGCAACTTCGCCAAGCGTTGTAACCCGTCAGAACACAGTGAGATCCACATTGATTGGACTAAACAGCATGAGTAGTTTTAGGCTACATGAATAGTTAGATTTTCGACTCTTCTACATCACGCTTTCTTCATCAAACTGCGCTAGTGGGTACGGACCTATTTTTTATCCAAAGTATGATTCAAATTGAGGCTTGGATTTAATGTGGAATATCACGTGTTGACTGAGGGGGCAGATTCTTCTTTAACCTTTGCTGTTGCCATCACAGCTCGCGATTAATGTCACCACTTACTTTTATTCTGCACAGTTTATGGTCATTATAATAGGCTTGCCTATTTAAGATTTTCTTGCAAGCTGTGCCTTTCCATTTTGCCTTATACATATCTCGCGTTGATGCTATCATATGGGATAACTGCTGAGCTGATTGACATGAGCGAACTATTTTCAGTAAATGGGTCGTGACACTGGAACCATTTGATGAATTTCTTTTTGATCCCACCGTATCCGTGGAGTTTATATTGTCAACTTGCTGATAATATGTTGAAGAGGTGATCCCACAATATACTTTAACTTGATGGGTAGCATTCACTGCGATGGGCCTGCCAGCGAACCATTGGGCGAAACGCCACATCATTGATTCCCCTATCTCGGAAAAGCTCTCCACAGTAAGATATTCATAGGCCAATGCTGCAGGATCCATGACGTCACACTATTGGATAGATTCACTGCCATATCACCTATGTTTTTGGTGGTTGTTTGTCAGATTTCAATGGTAAGATTTTAAACTTCGGACACTTGACAAGCATCTGATCTAGTTTTAACAATCAATACTGTAGCGGTTAAATGGTGAAGTTCGTGAAGCCGATCTTAATGAATTGGAAAACATTCTACGCAGACGTTTATGCTCTTCAAACTAACTACAGGAAATTTTTTTTATAGCATGCGTTAGAAGATGTAAGCCAAAAACTGAAAGATGAATACAGGGATAGATCGTATATAATGGGTGGTTGGGATGAATCCTAGAATTTTCGGAACCACAGACAACAATATTAGACTTAAAATTACATAGGGGGTCTTACTCTCATCACACCTTATTAGATAAGCCTCTAGATGACCATCATGGAATAAACCACTATCTAATAATTCATAATCCATTTAAGGACAGGATCTATGTTGTTACCAATTTTATTAAAATTTCCCAACTTTAACTTTAATACTTTTTTTCAATGAAATGGCGTCCATAGAAAGTAGGTAACAATTAATTGCCGTTATTGATTAATAAAAAAAACATTATACGCAGAATTTTGTGTTTTCCAAACTAACTACAGGTGCATTTTTGTATAGCATGCGTCGTTTAGGAGTTTTAAGCCGAAAACTGGTCAAATAATCAACCTTTTTGCCATGTTGATGAAAATATCCCACCTTTGAAAAGCTACAGCGGCTAAACGGCTCGGCCAATTTTGACGTATTTAACATCAATCGACGCGGAACTTAATGCACTAAAAGACACTTTTGAACAACATTTTCCTTAGGATTCGTTATTTAGGAGTTATAAGTGAAAAACTGAAAAAAGTGCAAAATTGTCATACTTTTTCGACTCCCAAAACTTAAGCAGACGTCAGAACCCGTCGCAAACTCACAGGAGTCTTATTTGGGACCCCCAAAAGGTATTAAAACACTTTCCAGCTTTAGACGATTTTTTGGGGAGCACATCCTATATTTGATCTAATTTGCCTGGACTATAGTAGATTTCTTATCCTTATGAAACAGCTGAAGATAATTTTGTTATTGTTCTGTATGGTGGACAGCAGGAGTTGTGTTTTGTTTATGTTTTGTTGTTGAGATAAAAGTTGATAGTGTGATCTTTTTAAATTTACGCCACAAAAAACATGGCTGGGCAGCTGGTACACAATTAAGGCAACTGCATTTGCAGGAATATTAACCATAAAATAAAATAAACTTTAAAAAAAAAATGGTAGAGTGCTCTTAAATAAATGTCTTAAAATATAAACAAGAAATCTGATTTTTATTAACAAGTATACTTTCCATTTTCAATTGATTTTAATATCAATAAGTTCAATTACATTGTCAAACACCAGTTTAGCTACATTTTTGTTAAGTACTACAAAATACAAATTAGTGTGAATTTTAAGGACTGCCCCTCGAACAGAACAAATTATATTTGCAATATAATATTATATTTAACTTCCTGCTATTAAACATGTATAAAAAAAAAATGGAAAGCATTACATGATAGGATTATTGGTGTATATTTTTTTTCTGGGAGGGAGAAAAAAATACCAAAAACAAGTTTTAAATCATAATTCATTTTGATGGTCAAATCCAGCAGGTACCTAAATAATCACTAGATAACATTATGTTTATATCACATTTTGTGTTATAGTATGATTCAGATGTATTTTTCTCTCCCACCATGATCCTGAAAAGGATCAGTAATAATCAAAAAGGCATACTATGTATACTTAAGATCAAATATAAAATAATCCTAACCTTGTTAATACATTATATAATATTATTATACCTGATGATTTGAGAGGATACAAGGAAAGGAAGCATAGAGAGGAGTGCACATCTTACTAGAACCATTTTAGATCTAAACTCCTGGAGACACTGCTCAAACTGAGTGATAAGATAACTTCCTTAGGGTGTGTAGCAACGTCTTTGATTGACATTTCATGTTTTGGAACTCCAGAGAGATAGTTGGAAGAAACACTGTCTTATCTCAAATGAAGTTTACGAAACAGTATCATTACTAAAACACTTAAAACACTACGAGCCTTTGTTGATGTAAAAGTACTTCAGAAATATGTTTACCAACCACAACATATAATGCAAAATAAATCAAATTTCAGTTATGTATACATATAAACTTCCATAAGCCTGAACCTCTAGTTTATAATAGTAAAAAAACCCCGCCGCAGCAAGTCTGTAGACTAAGGAAATTGAAATTGACTTTATTGGATTTTGCACGTTAAAATAGCAAACAGTTTAGTATAAATTATTCACTATTTATATAAGCTTCACAAAATGGCAAAGATTGGAAGATTTGATGTTTATAGGTAAATAGAAATAGAATATTTACCTCATACAAAAAGTTCCTATAATTCGAACAAACATAGAAGGTATGGCTATACAATACTGAGACTGGTTTCTTAAGAAATAAACTTTGTTAACCTAAAGGCCAAAAGCTGTATTGCCGCATTCCGGCCTGTTGACCAGCCTAAGCTGCTTAGTTTGACCATAGCGTGCTTTTGTATTGGATAGTATTATATTGGCCGCTAGTCAGAATAGCTTCACAACGAGAATGCCCCCTAGCTCAATTATACAATTTTCCGGCGAGTGGCAAATACATGATCAGACCTGAACAAAGACTGTGACCACTAAGCAACCTATTGTGTTGTAAAACCGGCTGGAACAGGGAGGCGGGAAGTTATGGGGTAAGGCAATGGTGTTTGGCCTTGAGTCTCTAGTTATTTTATATTCACACCTCGTATATTTATTCATACGAGAGGTCGTCCAGTTGTCGAAACTCAACCAAAAATATGTAATGTAAACTTACTCACTTCTCTATTTTCACCCCACACTCTAAATAAAACATGTGATTGGAGTTTCTTCCATTTGTTTTGATTTTCTGTTTATATTTCGTTGTTATTTCGTCACCAGCATGGCAACCCATATGATCCATGTTAATTTTTTCAAATTTTTAAACTCATTTTTTGTGCTTATCTTTGAGCCTATTTTAATTTATAAAGGGATTCTGCACACCTACAGGAAAATAGCTTTCTAACGGTATGCGTAGATTTTCCCTACGATGCACACGAGCTGAGAAAAAAGGTTTTAAAGAAACATGCTTGCCTATTAATATATAGATAGATAAATATTGTACCAAATCTCTTTAGAATCAGATGATTTTTTCTTGAGCGCACTTAGGACACACACATGAGTTTACAGTGTATGTTAATTGTTAACAATTAGTGTTTTAATTCTTGAAAATGTAAATCAATAATCGGTACTGGGGTCTAGGTCCTACCATAAAACCCATAAGCTACGGTAATAGCTCATTTCCCACCGTGAAAATTTGTTGAAAGTAAGTTGTAAGCTAAATATACAAGGAGATGAAATATATGAACGTATATGAAATATTTGTTGAAAGCCATTTAAAAAACCGGTAGAACAACAGAACGCTACAATTTTGATTCTTTTTTTTTAACAAAGGTATTGTTTGGGTAAAAAACCAACAGCACAAGTTGAATGCAGAATACAGGTGAATAAATAAACTATATTTAAAACTACCGGTAATAGAACCGGAGAAGTTTTACTTCGGTCTAAATTAAACTTATCAGTAAAATTACTATCAGATGATCAGACATACTGATTGTAGTGGTATTGGTAGTATTGTTCAAAAAAACTAATCGAAAACATTGTGATAGTGTTCTAGCTGGTTGCTATTGACAGTCTGAAAGTAAAATGTTTGGCTGTGCAGAACTAGTGTTTTTTAGTTATAGTGTGTTTGTTTTTGTGACTTTCATTATGATTTCGATGAATAAGTACAAGTAGCTAATATTAGAACAGAATTTTGAAATATTTTAATTGGAACATTACTTTTGAACATATCATGGAAAATTATATCAATAAGCAATTGTTTTGACTATCATATTGTACTTAATGCAAACAATATTTCTTTGGTAAGTGTGTAGCTCAAAGATAGGTTATTTTCTTACTGTATAACTGGACTTTAATTGTAAAGTGTTTCCCTCTACTAAGAATTTTATCAGTTACCAGCAGTTGCGCCTTGCTGTGCTTAACAACTATTATTTTAAATGGTAATTTGTTCTTTACAATATTAGAACAATAATAAAAGTGTATACCAAAAATAAAAATAGAACATTTTACTTAATTGCCAGTGGATAAACAATGTTTTTTCATTAGGTGTATAAATATATATATTTTTTATCGTCCTGCCCTAATGTGGTTTTATGTCAAATGCTCGTTTGCATGACTCAATCACTTTCAGGTTGGAGCTTGTTCGCTGCTCTCACTTGCCTTCAGGTTAGCTCGTTCGCTACGTTAACTCGCCTCCAGATTGAAGTCCGTTTGCTACGCTCACTCACCTTTTGGCTGCAATTAGGTGTTGTCATAAATAAAAAAAAAATAATAGTGCTGCACCCTGTTGGTAAACCTATTAACTTTTTAATGCTATTGAACATCACAGAATCAAATTGTTTAGTTGAACCAGCTGTTAAGATTCTTTAATTCCATTGAAATATGAGTACTCATAAGGCTAACATATGGGAATCTCCAGAGCCACTGGGGCGGAGCCCTTTTGCACCAACCTTCACACAAACCATCCTTGAATATTGCTTAATAATGCCTGATAGTTTCATTACAATCTGTCGAGCTGTTTATGAGTCCATAAAGGACAAACAAACAAACAAACATACATTGGATTTTATCGGGTGACCCACGAAGGGGTTTAAACGTTTCATTTTATATTACATGCCCATTCATGCACCGAACTTTTTTAAACTTTACACAGTTAAGTAAAATAGTTTTCTGTGCTGCACTCTGTGGAAACATTGTGGCACTATTTCAAATCATAACTAATACAGCATGTTATAATTATTCAAACCTACAAAACAGTTGCCGAGTAACAGCTAGTTGTATTTATTTGTAAACATTGTAGTTCAAAAAGTCTGACATTTGCCCACTTTAAACCCTCTAGGGTGGAGCCCTTTTGACGGATCTGCACCAAACTTTACACAAACCATTCTTGAATAATGCTTAACTAGCGGAATACCCGTGCTTTGCTACGGAAACTTTCACATTGGTTGACATTTTTAATAAATTAGTGTATAAGATCCAACAGCCTTTCAGTCAACAATTAAGCTACAACCTGTTTTGCTCCAATCGATGTCATAAAGCAGATATTATAATGTCTCACTCGGTTCATAAAGTGTGTATGAGGGTGGTTGCCCATGACCAGACTGCATATAAAGGCTTAGGTAGGTGCTGAAATGGTAGTAGCTACACTTTACCACCATTGCAGTACATGCCCAATGTTTAAATTCTTTCCATTTTGAGGCTTCGCAGTACTTACATTATTTGAACGTCATGGTACCTATCGCCACCGAGCTATCTCCTTCATAGTCTATTTTCGGATGATATGTCATTGTTGATAGATGTTTCACCATCCATTGAATCTTTGTCAAATGTATTTCAGGATGAGTTTGTTTATACCTTTTGCTTGCGTTCTTCACCTGCTTTTTCCTTTGTTTGTCTGTGCACCTGCTATGCCGTTTACGCCTTAATGTATTTTGTTGAGATTCCTGAATCGGCTGACGATTGGGAGAAAGGGCTCTTTTTGTGGCTCTAAAACGTCAAAGTGCCCGCTAGACATGAATTGTGTCAATTTAGACTTAAATTTTCATGGGATTACGTACATCACCAAACTTGACATGTAATTCACACTATTCCGATTAACCTCGAAAACAAATTTGAATAAGGTTAAAGCTACAACCAACCAAAGGTAAACAGCTTAGACATTTAATAGAAGTATTCCCTGGAATTGAGGTAATTATTCCCGTCACTGTCGTATAGAGTGAGATTAAGAAGTAGTCCCAGTTTCTCACATTTTCAACAATTGCTTTGCACACATCTTAATATATAAAAGAAAGTTGTGTTAGTTACAGCGTTTATAACTAGAAAACTACTGAACCAATTGGCATGCAAATTTACAGGGATATTCCTTAGGTACTAGAATAACATAATAGCCTGTTTCCGTTTCAAAAACCCTTAAGGGATGCGTCCTATGGCCTTTTGCAGTTTACATGTTCATCTTATGGAAGAATGTTTTATTTTGTATACCATGCCATGTTTGTCATTTCTTGATAAAATTAAATTAAGGAAACAGCTGTTGTAATGATAACCTAATTTTTTAAAACAAATCTATGCATAACAAATGAGAGCTATCAAATAGGTTTCTATTCCATTTGTTTTTTACGAATATTTGTTGTGCGAACGAGCTCCAACCTAAAGGTGAGTGAGCGTAGCGAACGAACTTCAACCAGGACGTGATTGAGCCATGCGAACTAGCTCATCTTGAAAATGAACGAGCATTTGACATAAAACCACATTAGGCAACAGGACGACGTCTGTCGGGCCAGCTAGTTTATTAATATGTGATGTGTGTAAGGTGATGATAAATGAGAGTGAAGTAAATAAAAACATTTCATCTCCTCTGATCACTAAAAATATTAACTTAAAATACTTACCGGTACTGGCTACTATCGTTTCCCAGACATTCTTTTTTGGAAATAAACCTTACAAATACAATAGTAAGAATTTTGAAAATAAGAAAGTCAATAAATTAATGAATTACGCACTTAAAAAATAAAACTCCTTATTCACACTTGGTGGGCTGTTATCAGTGCAAAAGGATGAAGTCCACTTTGTCAGGTAACTGTAGGAAAAAGTTTTTTTTTGAAAATAATTAACTCTTCAGCGGCTGTTTGAAACTATCCAAGATGGCCTCTAGCCTCCAAGGTGTCTTAAGTAGTAAAACAGATACATAGAATAAATTAAACTAATGCACCTGTTGCTCGAATTCAAGCAATTGCAAAGTATTACAGGCGTTCAAAACTAATAAAAGTCGCGATTCAACTCAAAGAGTCAACTCAAAGATCACTCCACTAACACTCTTGTGTGTATCATGTGTTTACTATGAACAGCTGTAATCAACACAAATAATTCGTCTGTTTAAGTAAACAAAATCTTTTCTTCATAAGAAATACATTGGGATTTTGATGGCCTGTGGGGCAAAGCCCGAGGAGTTTTATTACAGGAATTGGTGAAAGGGGGCGTCTACACAAAAAATACTTAATTTTGACACATTGTTTGTAAAAATCCGTCCATTATTAACGGAGGAGTAGTGTTTCGTAGAAATCGCCTTTACGTATTATATATAAGGACTAGCAAATAAGCAGGTAGGGTACCCTCTAGTAACTAACGGGTACTGTTACTATTAAATAATAATATTTTATGTTTTATACTGTGTATTTGTTTCAGGGAAAAGAAGCATGAATGATTCATCATTAAATTTGTATATTACTTAAACTTAACTATTATTGTAAAGTACTACTCGTACTTTCATCCAGAATTAAAGTAAAATCCAAATGCAACGATGTTTATAATGTCAAGAAATCAAGATGTACCACTTTGGATGTTATTAGTTTACATAAACCTAAATTTACAAGCTCCTGGTCACACGGTGCTTGCTTTGTACTATCCACAGACAGAAAGTGATGTAGATTTCTCAAAACAGGAGAAAGGGATTAGAACATTTTGGGAAGAAAACAATATATTTTTCAAATCTGTAGATCAGAGGTCAGAAGAAAATAGGTATGTTGTTTATGATGGACCCCCGTTTGCCAACGGCCGACCCCATTACGGCCATCTACTTACTGGTTTCATCAAAGATACATACAGTAGATATCAGACCATGTTGGGTAAGAGGGTTGAGCGGTGGCTAGGGTGGGACTGTCATGGTCTTCCAGCAGAAATGGAGGCTGAAAAATCCCTAAATATTTCTGGAAAAACAAAAATTGAAGAGTTTGGTATAGCAAAGTTTAATAAACGGTGTAAGGACGAGGTAATTAAATTCATGTCTGCTTGGGAAAACTACATCATCATGCAGGGTCGGTGGGTCGATTTTAGTCACAGTTATTTAACAATGAATCGAAGGTTCATGGAGTCAGTAATGTGGGCTTTTAAACAACTATATAAGAAAGGTTTAATATATGAATCAGAGAGAGTTGTACCTTACAGTTGGGCTTGTCAATCTCCTTTGTCAAACTTTGAAACAAAGTTAGACAATTCGTATAGAATTAAAACCAGTAAATCAGTTACAGTTGCTTTTGAACTACTAGAGAAACCAACAAGACTAGAAAATCTAGCTCCTCCATGTAAACTACTTGTTTGGACCACCACCCCTTGGACTTTACCCAGTAATTTAGCATTGGCTGTAGGAAGAAATATAACATACATTGTTATATGGGTTCAACCTTCATATGGAAGGAAGACAGAACACTGTCTATATATTTTTGCCAAGCAGTATTTAAGTAAGTTTTTAGAAGTAATTAGCAAAAAAAAGGTAGATACTGTGAATCTAGACATGGAATTTTCATATAAGGATCTGATAAATCTGCCTTATAAACCATTGTTCCCGTACTTTGATCAAATTGAGGGGGCATTTAAAATCTTAGACTCTGGCCATGTGAGTGCTGAAGAGGGTACAGGGGTGGTACATATAGCACCAGGATTTGGTGAAGATGATTTTAATTTGTGCAAAAAGAAGAATATCAGTGTTGTGTGTCCAGTTGATGAAGCTGGGAAATTTACAGATGAAGTCTGGGATTTCAACAAGACTCAAGTGTTTGACGCTGAAAGTGCCATCATAAAACATTTAAAAGCCCATAAGAATGTTTTTCATACAGAAGCATATTCTCATAGCTATCCACACTGTTGGAGAACTGACACGCCCTTGATATACCGCACAATGCCTTCTTGGTATGTAGCAGTGACCAAATTAAAAAACAGGATGATTGAATTAAACAAAAATGTCAACTGGGTGCCAGAACACATTAAAGATGGAATGTTTGGTAAGTGGATTGAAGGTGCAGATGATTGGTCAATTTCCCGCAATAGGTTTTGGGGAACACCCATCCCGGTATGGAAGTCGGACAATGCAGCATTTCCTCGTATTGATGTGTACGGTTCCATTGAAGAAATGGAGCATGATTTTGGTAAAAAAATCCAAGATCTACACAGACCTCATATTGACTGCCTGACAAGGCCAAACCCAGATGACCCCAGTGGAAATTCAACCATGAGAAGAATTCCGGACATATTCGATTGCTGGTTTGAGTCGGGATCAATGCCCTTTGCTCAGTACCATTACCCCTTTGAAAATGAAGACAAATTCAAAACCAACTTTCCAGCTCATTTCATTGCTGAATATATGGCTCAAACAAGAGGCTGGTTTTACACACTATTTATTCTTTCTACAGCATTGTTTAATGAAGCACCTTTCAAAAATAGTATCTGCCATGGTGTTGTATTAGACAGTAAAGGTTGTAAGCTGTCAAAGCGCTTGGACAACTTTTGTGACCCTTCTGTGATGATTGTGGAGTACGGATCTGATGCTCTACGCTTCATGATGCTCTCTCGTCCTGTAGTCATGGGTGAAAATCTCAATATAGATAAAAAAGGGAAATCCATACAAGATGTTGTAAGACTAATAATTAAACCTATATGGAACACATATAATTTTTTTACTCTTTATGCTAACGCCGACGTAATCAAAGCAAATGTTAGTAACAATCCATTACATTATGAAAAGACAATAGATAAATATATAATGTTTAAATGCTTCCAAGCTGTTAGCAAAATTAAGAAGTCAATGGACAATTATGACTCCCAAAAAGCTTGTAAAGTTGTATACGAATTTTTTGAAATACTTAATAACTGGTATATTCGGAGGAATAGAGAAAGATTTTGGAGCAAGGAACATGATAAAAACAAACTGGATGCTTATAATGCACTTTACACAGTGTTAAACTACATTTTAAGAGCAACAGCACCTTTACTACCACACGTTACTGACGTCATCTGGCAAGGTCTACGTTTTAATGAATCATCGATTCATTTAACAGATTTTCCGTATATCCCTGTTCATGAGAGTGATAATATTTCAGCTGAAATGGACTTTACCAGAAATATTTGCAATGCAGCGATGTCGGCCAGAAAACAGTGCAAAGTTAGAGTCAGGCAGCCTTTGAGAACCCTCAGGATATATCATGAATCACTGATTGATTCTTTAGAAGAAGAAAATACTGTTGCGATCAAAGAAGAGGCTAATGTAAAAGAAATCGAATGGCGAGCAAACTATGAGGGACTAGCCGAAACGCACCTGCAGCTTAAATTCCCAGTAATAGGAAAGCGAGTTCCTGACAAAATAAAAAGAATCATCCAACTACTTGGTGAGCATAAGTGGAGAAGAGCTGGATGTAATGTGATAATTGGGGAGGGTGCGGAAGAGTATCAAATACATTCAAACGAATATGACTTAAAACTTAAACCGATAGGAAACGCATGTGTGTTTGACAATGGAAAAGGGGTATTGAGTTATGATCTTGAGTTAGACGAAGAATTAAAACTAGAAGGCCATGCACGAGATGTTGTAAGAAATATTCAAGAAACAAGAAAACAAGCGGATTTGGATATTTCTGATAAAATCTGGGTTGTTATAAAAACTTCTGACATGGAAATTAAGAAAGCCATTTGTAAATGGATGGACTACATTAAAGAACAGACTCTTGCACATTCGTTAGAAGTAAAAGAAGCTATTACTCAGGATCTCTTCTCAAGAGAGTACGACAAATTAACTGTAGCCATCAGAGTATACCACGACCTTATGTAAAAGCCGAATTTATATTATTTTGTATGTTTGAATATAAGTATTGTGAGATTTTGATGTTTAAGTTGTTTAAAGTCAAGTAAAACTACTGCCAAAAACACAAAGAAATTTCATAATAATACTTGGGGGGGCAGTGACAGTGTATTTTCTAGGCGTCCAATCCAAACATAATGTAGGCTACAATAAAAAATTGCTGGTTGTAATAAGTTATCCAAAATAGGTTTAGCTTTAAGGCAGGATAACAGTTATAAAGAAAATGGAGAAGGTTTTGTGTTATAGAAATGGTTTATCGTATTGTATATACATTCGAGACTTATCTTACATTGTTCTAGGACCACTAAACATTAACTATCAGTAAGTTACTCCATTTACCCACCACTAGTCATGGAATTAATGTTGTAGATTACCTATTTGTTTATTTGACTATGTGTTACCTCTTAGTACGTTGCAAATTTTGTTCTTTTTGTATTTCCTAACTAAACTGCCATCATGCTATGCCTAATACAGTAATACGTTTTAAAATAAAATACCGGTAATTAGGTACTATTATTTAGAAGAAAATATGGATTGAATTGGGCCACAGACTGAGAGTGATAATGTAAATTACTGATTTCTGTCCAATATACGCTGGCTTTTGGACCAAATCAAACTTATAGAATTAATTGTGATATAGCATCTTATATATCACACTATAGTCAAAGGGAATAGAATACTGGCCGATCAAGGTATTTTTAAATAGGACAGCTGGTATTAATCAACTGCCAGTTCTATTTGAGTTGACTATAACCATTGATTATTGGATACTGAAGCTATACATGGTGGATCCACTATGAAAGCTATGACTATCTTATTGAAACACCCCCAACCCAGCAAACCTGCAGACAAAGCAAATTTCCATTTGCCTGATTTGATTTTCCCTTAAACCTATTTAAGTAACATTAACTTTAATGATTACCTAGGTTTGCTGCAACAGGGAGGGTAATAAAGAGTGTTTTTTTCTGTAAAATATCAATAGCTTAGTATAAAATAAATAAATTTGATCACAATTTACCTATATCCATAAACAAGAAAACTACAGCAATTTACTTATTTTTTTACTTATAAACAATCATACTTTGACAGTTCTCATTGTGTATCACATTTTTTTGTAGCTGCTTAGTTCAAAGGTTCAAATTAGCTGTTCATAAATGCAAAAAAATAGTGCTGCACCCTGTTGGTAAATCTTATAACTTTTTAATGCTTTTGAATATCATAGAACCAACTTTTTTAGTTGAAACACAGCTGACTAAACTCTTTACTTCCCATTAAATATGAGTACTCATAAGGTTAAAATGGGGAGCTACAGAGCCACTGGGGCGGAGCCCAAAAGGATTTTCGAGATAAGAATATGCCTAAATGTTAATCGGGAATGTTAGCTATCATCATGCCAAATTTCAGCCCAATTCTTCCAGTAGTTTATGCGTGATTGAGCAACACACAAACTCACAAACTTTCAGATTTATAATATTAGTAAGATAAGATATAAAGAAGACGTGTTTTAAAAACGAAATAAGAAGACGTACTTCTTAAGAAAAATGCCTGTTAAAACAGTAAAATAAAATTTATTTATGTCTGATTGTATGTACCCATGGGAAGAAACACTAAAGAGGGGGAGGATTGAAGTAGGTGTATCTATAGCAACCACAAGGAGGAAGTGAAGACCTCTGCCAGAATCCACAGAGGATGGGTCACTTGCTAATACCTGGGTGTGTCTACTGCCAGGCCACCAGTAATCCTTGTCTAAGCATACCTATTCATAAATACCCCCGCACAGCGAACCTGCAAACTACGCGAATATGCATTTATGTCTGATTGCATTTTCACTAAAATATCTCCTTAAAGTCAGAAAGCTTAGTTTAATTATTCTCCATTAGAATATAATCTATTTGCTAGGGGTGTTCCAGTGTGCATTTTATGTATAGAAAAACACCTATTTGATTCCTATTTAAATAACATTCATTTGTAATGAGTACTTAAGTTTGCTGCTTCAGGGACACTGTACATCTAGGGTCTTAGATCATTCACAGGTTCACACTAAGTATCCTTTTTTTAAATGTGAGAAAAAGTGTCCTTTTTTCCTTAAATGTATCCTCTTTCAAAGTGCTTTGAAAACTGAGCAAATGTCACTTCCAAGCTTGTTTGCTATCATGTGAACTGGTACATATCGTGAAGTTCTTGCTGAACCAAGTCGCATCCACAATTCCTGTAAACCTTCCGAAAAGAATCCATTTATAAAGTGTAAATCCAACAATACGACATCTGTATCCGAAGACAGAACTACGGCTTAACTCGATAACTGAAGCAAAAATGATCCGATTTTAGTGAAATTTGGCACAATCGTGTAAACCTACGTTTTTCATATGAGTTTGCGAACTAGCATGATTGGACTATGGGAACAGGTGTTTATGAGGGCTTTTATGAGGGTACAGTTGAGTTTTCCCATTTTTGACTCTAAAAAGATAAAATTACACAATTTCTTTTTTTTAACCATTTTGTAGAGCTTAAAAAAGAAAAAATTTTGTATATTGAATTGTTGTTGAATGCTTACGGCTGCAGAGGTAATTCAAAAATTGTAAATTAAAAATTCCCATGTTATTCTTATGGAGAATAAATAAGCTTTTGTAGTTTGCTTGTTTATGGATATGTTATAATCAAATTAGAAAATTGTGTTTATTTCATACTAAGCTATCAACATTTCGATAATAAAAAAAAAAAAAAAACACCTCGATACCTTCCCTGAAGCAGCAAACTTAAAGTACTCATTATAGATGAATGTTATTTAAATAGGAATCAATCTGACAATTTTAAGGGAATATGTTAGTAGAAATGCAGCCAGGTAAATGTATGCTTAGTCTGCAGGTTTGCTGTTGCATGGGTATTTTGACCTTAAATGTAAATATCAATTAGTGTTATGTGCCAAATTAAAAAGAACAGTTTTATAAAAATATTAGAATTTTTTGTCAAACAGAGTTTATAGGTTAAATTAGCATAAATCGCTCAACAACTCCTAAATAGTTATATTTTGGGCATTTTTATAAATACAAAAGTTGTTCCTTGTTGTGTAAGCAACATTTACTGTAATAAAAGTAACTCGCTATATATTACCGTTTTCGAGATATAAGCTCCCTATGAGTTTCATGTAATAAATGCCACCGCCATTTTTAAAATGGCGATTCTCAGGTTATGCCCACTCTGCCAAGCTGGCACCCATGTGAAAAATGATAACTCGCATAGTACCTACATGATCCCTTAGGGTCTTTTTCTATACATAAAATGCACAACGGGAACCCTCTTAGCAAGTGGATTAAAATAACAGGAATTTTTAATTTAAATTTTTAAAACAATTATATCCCTAACCATTTTAAGCATCTCTTTTGAACTGAAAATTATAAATTTGTAACTGTTTTCTTATGTTTATACAAATGCCTACATTACACTATCATTATTAGTTCCTATCAATTAAAGTGCATTTATTCTATAATAGGTAATTTTACAATATTCTATAGGTGAACCAAAGGCCCCACAATTATTTTAACCTGTTTAAGTATGAGACTACGCCAGAGCAGATTGGTTGTTAAATTAAAAACACAATGAATTCAACTCTTATTCTATCCAAGAAATGTGTTTTCAATACAATACTAGTACTGTAATATAATAATTCATTAGGCCTACCTTGATAAAGTAGGCTACATACTGATTGATAAGTAGGCTTAATACTGCATCTTGTATTATCCTGTCATCTTAACATTTATATTGCATTAGAACATAACGACTCCCACTTGATCACAGAGTGTAGCAGGTGTGAGGGTTTTATCTACATCAACCAAGTTTGGTTATTGGACAAGTTGAGCGGAGAGTCGGTCAAGATATGAACAAACTTTCAACCCTTAAACACAATGGGTTCATGTATAGAGGCTCTTAAAGTAAAACATGAAGTACATGCATTCAAGATTTATTACCACCCTTAAACAAGTTCAAGAATTATTTTCAAAACTAAATCAACAAAGTAGTATTTGTTTAATACGAATCTAGAACGATTAGATAAAAAATAAAACCACAACTGTATTAGGGAAAATAACAATATTATAATACCAACATGTACAAAAATGAGGGATTCTCCCAGGTGAAAATCTAGTTATTCAAAAATAATCTTGATCAATATCCATACTGCTTTCCAAAGTGACATCAAAACATGTTAAATCGTTTGAGTCAAAAGTGTCTTCGAAATCTACAGTCAAATTAGAACGCGATGAGGTTGAATCAGTGTCGAAGCGGTTTTGAATTGCAAGACACAACATGTCCGACGTGGCATCGGAAAATTCTACATCACTGTACGGATCAAAAGTCGTGTCGAAAACGTCTATGTCGGAATTTATCGATGGCGAGGAGGGAGTATCAGTGACATCAAAGTCAAATACAACTTGAGTGTCGTCATCGGAATCACTGATTGTCTGTATGGATGTTGCATGTTGTGGACTGTGCTGGTAATGTACACTGACTGACAGGGAATTGTCCGTACCATTGTTTATAACCGTTACTGCTTGACCAATGTCAGCGTCGATATCCTCCACATCAACATCTTCTTCCTCACTGTCCTCCCAATCGTCCTCCACGTCATAGTCATCCTCCTCCACCTGGAGCCTGCGACATACAGGACAAGTGTTCTTTCTCTGCAGCCAAGGACGGATGCAACTCGGGTGGAATACGTGATCACAGAGCAACTTGGTCACTAACTCGCTGAGTTTAAAGTCTTCGTGGCAAACACTGCAGAGGAGCTTGTCGTTCACCTGAATTTCATTAATCTCATGTAATTTAACTGGAGCTAAACTGACGAAACGTGACATCTTATGGAACAACACGAACACGATTTATCAATACAACCTATTCCAACTGAGACAGACACTATAATTTACAACATTGAACACGAAGTAGGTTATTTAGTAACCTTAATATTGTAACGACCACTGGTAACGACAATACTAATGTTGTCAGCTGATTTGTTTGAGGTTTGAATAAACAAACATAGAGAGAAAAAAGGGAATTAGGCTATCTAGAGAAAATAATCATTTAACAGTACAGTATGTAAAAACATTTTACAACCCCAAATGTCGTACAGTTCACGCTTGAGGTTAAATAATAAAAAACTTTCATATTTATCTATGGATAAGTTCATATTTATTTATTTGTTGATCATTGCGTTCGACGAGTTTTTATAACTGAGTTTTTTTTAAATTAAACAATTAAA